TATCTTGACCATCCACTTTCTGAGCTTGAGGCACCAAACCAGCTTTTGGCTGCAGGAAGATGAAACAATCTCAACTTCTTTTTTTTCCTATCTCATTGACATGTTAAACCGGCAAAAAAGATCACCAGTGTTCTTACCTTTAGAATACCGGTCGTTCTGTCTGCCATAGACTTGATCCACAAGGCGCAAGGTGTAATCCGCATATACTCTGCAACCAGCAGGGAGGGTTGCCAAATCCAGAGCCAAGTACAGAGAGAGATGGGTGCCCATTCCAAGACCTTTTCCCTTAGGATAGAGCACCATCTTCCTGAAACAACCGGTACATGTAGAAGAAAAAGGAAAAGTGCTACTACTAAATACTACTGATAACAGAAGAAAAGAATATATGAGAAGGTGATTTTTCAATGCTCGTGTTCATCTCGAAAAGAAAGGAATCACTAACAGCTAACGAATTGTTTGGGCAAGCTAGCACATGGAGTATAACGTAATGTAAGAGAAACATCGGCTTCCAAAAACACATCCGAAACATGTTTTAATTAAGATTGCAGATTAAAATAATAAAATAACTATACCATTGATGATCTCCCGTGCTGAATATTTGTGATTCTTGGCGTTTTTCATCCAACTTGGAAAAGTTCACGATCTTCCAAGCGTACTCGGAAGCAGTAGGATCCTTTTTCATTGATAAGACCTCTCCTTTGCCTCTGCTTCTTTCTCCACAGACAAATACTTCAGCTCCAAGCACACAAGTGTCTTCCAGAACGAATCCATAACGAGCATCATTAAATGTTGAAAGCTTAATGAATTGATCGAAACCACATTCAAGCTTCAATCCATGAAAGCGTCTTTCCTTTCCTGCTGCATCTAACCTTGGCAACAAGGCCAGAACATCAGAGAGGGGCATCACTTTCTCTTGAGTTAAACTAAATTACCCAGCGTGATTGAAGAAAACTACTGCAAGTAAATCTTGCCCGTCACCCAATTTACAACGCATAACTTTGGTGATACTATAAACACTAAAACAAAAACTGTAGCTAATGACAATAGCTTGAGGATGTATTGCAGAGTAATGATTTAGAAAACATGCCTTGAATTACCAAGTAGCTGTCCTTGTTTTGGCCAAGCAAAAACAACCGAAAAATCACGTTGACCTCCCAACCACGTGGAAGAGAACTCGCGTCAACCATTGCTAAATAGAGAGAGATGTAATCTTTTACATTATTGCTCTTGTTTCCGTTCGGATAAAGAACTAATTTCCTTGCAAAGCAAACACAGGAGGAGGTAATAAAAATGAGAGGGGTCTCTCATAATAAAACATGACTGCCGTTGGAGATGGAAAGACAAAGAAAGACAAATATTCACTAGCAATAAGATGTACCATTTATAGCCTCCAGCTTCAAAAACCCCTGATTCATATGTCTCCACTGCATTTTTCCCAAGTGACGAAAATAACTCTATTTTAACCATGTAATGGATGGGCGGTGCATCTGATACGGTTGCTACAGGTCCTGCAAAATGAAATGATATCAGCACATACAATTTTGATCACTCTTTGGTTTTGTTACTGGAGAAAATCTGCTCATTATACAAGCACGCCGAGTGTTAGAGGGAGAGCTTGGTACGGAAGAAAGGGCAAGCTCACAGACAGTAATCTCGGCATCAGCACAGAAAAAGTTAGGTCACAGAACACGATGTTAGTCGATGAGAGAAAAAAAGGAAGGAAAGGGGGGAATACCAGGAGGGGGAGAAATATTGCTGACAACTTCTGTCATGACGTTGACGATATCTTTTCTGGCTACAAAATCCACTAAACAATGTGCAGGATGTAGGGAATGAACAAAACATTTGTTCCCTTATTTGTAAGGAAATCAAGAGAGAGTAGTTATTCGAAACTCTTAGAAATTGTTTGGGGATTGTTATCCTTTGCTGGAATGAAGATTACTTTTGAAACCGGAAACAGATCGATTCTCTTCTTGCAGATGCAAAACACGTCTATGGAATATACCATGCATTGTTTCCTTGCAAACCGCAATCTTACAAAACTTAAACACAACAATATGCTTTTGCAACCAGGTACATTTGTGGGGGTAATGATTGAATCTGTAGCAGCAGGAAAACCTCAAACGGAACTCCATAACATTCGGCTAAAATGCTTTCATGCCTGTGAAATTTTTGTTTTCTTTTCGTCTTTTTTCATTGAGATATGCATGTATTTACTTGCTTCGAACATACATGTTAATAATTTGGACGAGTAAAGAAATTTAAGAAATTATAGTAATTAGAAGTTCTCGCATCCAACCTCATGGTATAATGGATGCTGCTCTCCTGGGAGTGCACCAGGGTAATTGTGATCAGAAAAGGCACTCCAAGTCGGGGGACTAGCTTTCCACTCCTAGACTCTCTGATGACAAATATGTGGTCAATTTCATGTGTACGAGGACATGGTATGCAGGAGGAACCGTCACTCACTACCGCCGCATCTCTTCTATTCTCCATTGCCTGCTAAACTTCTAGACAGCTTTGTTCAAAAGGATCAAAATTCGGCATATATTGCATAATTTTAACATGGAAAACATTATTTTGGATCCCGTGGTACAGTGCTACCAGTTATGTTATCCTCGAAACTACTGCCAGAGATGGAAGTGGATTATAATTCCAAGAGCGAGCAGTTGCTGCAGGGGATGCAGAACTTGCCGATATTCTCTCAAATTGAGAGGTTAAAGATGGATTAGAGTTCATTTTGCATCGAGTATATCATCATCGCTTCTTTGTATTCAGGGACTTGTATCTATCTAGTTTTGCAGGCTAGAATTGATACTCGTGAAGCCTAACAGTTGGGTACCCGTCAAGGGCCAACGACTCTTCCCACTTTGGACAAGGCTCAGGCTGCTAAGATTCAAGAGCAAGAGACCTTGTTCCGAGCTGCTGTGCACGTTGGTGACAAATGCATGATTTACAGGGCCAGGTTTTAGATGCACAGGTTTTTTTCGATAATTATATCTACATGACAATTGCATCATCATCATCACTAGTTGTCTTAGATGCACAGGTTTTTTTCGATAATTATATCTACATATCGATGAGTCTTACTGCTTAATCTTAATATTTTGAACTTCTCGTGCAGAATCAACAGTCACAAATGCATGATTTACAGCGCCAGGCTCAGCAGAAGTTTCGGCCGGTAATCTAGTATTAGCTTCTTGTTATCATTAGTAATTTGGCCCCCTATTTGTTTTTCTTCATTTTGGTCTTTCTCCTCGCAACCTACGTCCATGCATTTCTGTGTCTTTCATGCTTTTTGTCTTGAACTTTTATTTTTAGCATTTTGTTTGCATTTTACCTACTAAGCATGGGGTAACTTAACAAGAAAGTTTATTTGATCAGAGGAAAAGGTTAAGCGACAAACACCCCCCTGCCCACTCGGAATACACAGTGCATTATTTCAGGGCAAAAGGCCTCTTACTCTACCAATATCTTAAGTTCGGCTTTGTGTGTCTCACTCTGAATTCATGCGTATTATATTCTTAAATCTAATTCATTTATCGTGTGCTCATGGGCATCACTTGTGCAGTTCTGTCTCGTGACCAGGAATTCTAATATGCTGCTAGAGGGATATAGACCCATGAAATTTCATCTTTAAGCTTTCTCCTATATTTTCACATCACTTCTTTGAGTACGAGCAAGAGGGTTTTATCGAAGTTTGGGAGGATAATTTATTGTCAGAGAGCATGCTGTTAGACCTCAATTTCTTTTCTTTTTTCGAAAAAAACTTGAGGCCACCTTCAAATCTGTCTTGCTTGAATATTTATAGATGTTACTACCTTTTCTTTGTGATGTTTTGAAATAACATGAATAAAAAAAGGCAATAAAACATATAAATAAATAAGAAGTATTGTAGTAATTGAACAAAGAGTTGATAAATATAAATAGAAAAAAAAATGAGTTGTCTTCTAAGAGTTAAAAAAAGTGACGAGAAAAGAGAAGAAAAGAAAAAGAAAAAAAAAAAGAAGGAAAGATAAGAGAAGAAGAAGAGAGTCAAAGAAAATAAGTTTAAAAGCAAGATTATATATAATGTGTGTTCTTTAAGCTTTAAATTTCTGTGATGCTGAATGTTAGGGTTTTGAAAATTGTGTTTTGGATTGATTATTATGGGTAATGAGCTACTTACTTGATTTCGAGAGATTGTAGGTAAATATGATGATTTTGAGTTATTATTTTGTTTGAATGGTGAATTTATATTAGAAATCATGAGATAACAGTAGATAATCCATGAAAATTCTGAATTTGAGGTTGAAGATGATAAAATTTCAGTGTGGTCCCTTAATTTGTAAAAATTACAGTTTAGTCCCCGAACTTTGGAATAATTTCAGATTGGTCCCTGGAGCATATTCCAAAATTCTGGACAGAATAAAAGATGAATTAGGGTAGGATTCTAGTATAGTTATGAATTTTTAACACTTTTAATTTGGTCCTCCCATTTGACAAAAATTACAATTTGACCCTTAAAAATATGATAAATTTTAGATTGGTCCCTTGCTGTAATATTAGCTTTTGCAGATTGGCTTGATGAATAAATAAGGGTTATTTAGTAAATTATAATCAAGTCTTATTATTTGTTTTATTATGTATTAGATTCCGAAAAAACCATTTAATTTTAGGTCTTTGGAAAACAATAACTAGTTTAATTCAAAAACTTATAGCGTTATGGAATAGACCCTTAGTTAAGTGTATTAAATAGATTGTTTTTTTTAGTTGTTTTTTAATATATCTCATTTTTATTCAGATAATCCTGATATTCTATCGGCGGGACACTAGTAGAATTTTCTTCAATATCTACTTTTGAGTTCTGTTTGCTTTCGATTCAGGTGAGTGGATAATTTTTTATATGCATAAGAAAGATTATAAATATTTGAGTTGTTAATATGAATTGGATCATGCTTCTTGATAATATATATGTTGATTATTATCCTTTTGTTACGATAAAATATGATTAATTGTTGAATCTGAATTCTTAATATGAATCAATATATATTTTTAATTGAGTTCTAAATTGATAACTTCTCATTTGATTGATGTCATGAGTTGAGTTTTGAGATATGAATATGTATGTTTGATTATGATTATGAACCTATGATATGCTAGTCAAAATATTCATGCTAACAAGGTAATATTAGTCTTTGTGCACATCGTATCTGAACCCTAGTTGGTCAGGAGAGTCACCAACTTATGTGAAATGATTATCCCACAATACAGAGCCTTGTGCTCATTGCATTTTGATTTTTTGATGAGCTTTATCTTATGATATTCTTGTCATGGCCTATTTGAAAAACCTTACTATAAGAACCTAGAGCCATAATTGTGTATATATTCATTATTGTTATATTATCTCGTGTGTGTATATTGAACGTTATCTATTCACTGAGTTGTTGAACTTACCCTCTTATTATTTATCTTTTCAGACTTATAACTTGTTAGCGGGTTATTTTATTAGACCTTCAGGACCTGTTTTTTTGTTGAAATTTGTATTTTTTTTATATCTAGTTAGTGCCCCACAACTATGAATTTGTATTAACTCTTATATTAAAACAATCAAATTATATTATAAAGTTAGTTTTGTTCTTACTCTGCGTTGATTTCTGATTGAGTTATTTAAAAAATAAATTTGTATGTAAATTTAGATTCATATAAATATGAAACTTTTAAAAAAAACCTTATTTATTTACTGGTCATAGATCGGATCCTAACTTTCTTTCTCTTTTAAACTGTTTTATCTCTTTTAAGCTGCATGCATGTTACTTGTGCACATAAATTCATAATGGATGTTTATTTGCACGGTGCAGATTTTTGTACCATGTTCCTTTTCTCTCTATTTACTTTAACTCTCTTTTTTTTTGTATGATTGTTTCCTTTTTTGATCCGTCTTAACCTTGTACTGTTTTGTTTGCCTCAGATTCCGAAAATGTCCTCCACAATATCATCACAGCCGCTTGTGCCACGAATGCAAGTATGCCTCCTGTGTGCTTGGCAAATTTATATTCTGTGTTTAGGGAAGATAGGGCTTGTTGATTTCATTAGTGCATATTGGATTCATCTGCAATGCAGAGATCTAGAATTTACCCAAAATCTCTCGTTAATTTCTGATTCTTTTCTGTACTAAAATAGAAAGTTTAATGTTGTTCCAATTTATCTTCCCCATGTTAAATCTACTATACAGATTGGATTTGCTGATAGCATGCTTCCTCAGAGGAATCTGCTTCTCCGGTTCTGAATGATCAGAGTATGAACCTGCTCTTCTATTTTTTTCGCCTTTCAGTCATACTTGGTGGATGAATTTGCAGTTATTTCCTGCCCCTTCTTTTCTTTCGCCTGACATCTCCTCCTGATATGTCCTGTTTTTCTCCCTTGCCAGAATGGGAGGTTGTCTTCTGCTTTTCTTATCGGATCCATGCAGGGCGGTGACCGACGGTGTTCATTTTGACGCAACAAAAAAGCAAGTGCGCTCGTCGTATGTTTACTAGAATCTTAACATACGAGGCTGAAGTTCAGTTGTGGCCTTTGCTTGCAGTCTATAATACGGGAGTATCCAATCCCGGTGGTGTAATGCCCATACAGCAGCAGCAGCAGCTTGGTTCTCAAGAGGCGTTTGGTAACATGCAACCAAATGCTCAGAACTTACAGTCAAGCATGGCAGTCACACTTTATTTTTCCTGACAAAATATCCTGTAACAAGGTATACACTGTTGAAAGTTTGTGACAAGGTTGGGAGTTTGGTAATGCGCAACCAAATGCTCGGAATTTACAAGATATGTGCCAATGATGATTTGCTATGTTGGAAGTTTGCATACCCACTGGTAATCAGTGTGTGCCTTTATGGTTTGTTGGGTGGTATGGCACGTATCTTAAGAGTTTATGTACCAGTTGAGTTTGGCTGTCAGAAGCTGTATTGGCTGTCTATCTGTGCAATATCCTTCACTAATTTACACCGATGTTGGTTGTATTTCATTGCACAACCAAACCATCCCTCTTATATACTCATAGTACGCTGGCCAGCAGCCGCACTCTAAATTTAACCATGTTTCAAACTATGGTCCACTCCTCCCGTGGGATTTGAGAGCTTTGATAAGATTACATGTTTGAATGAAACTCACAACCGTGTACTTACATTACAGATGACTGAAAATGAGAGTTAAGCTTAACAGGACATGGCCCTTCTCTTGTTCATTGTAATATGTAAGCTGAGAAAAGATAAGGAAACTGTGGTTCGGTGCTGGAATCAAAGCTGTGAGAAAATATCGTGACATCTGATTGATGCACCTGTTTTCCCCTGTAAAATGATTATTCAAGACTTCGAATCCAGTCAGAATGCAGTTAGTAGAAATAATTGCCTCAAATTCTCCAGGACAATGGTGGAGAAGTAGAGGTTGCAGCATATGTAAGGCATGAGATGATGGGTTCAAACAAACTTGGAACAAAAATTACAGCATCTCTGCACAAACCATTCTAGCCTGCATTGAACAGGGAAAATGAAGTAAATTAGTAGTGAACAGCACCCCTGCTTTCTTGAACTATGAAATAATCAGAAATTGGTTCTTTCTTTTTTCCTGTGATGGGATAGCATCAGGCTCGATCTTCCTCTATCCTAATTTCTTCCATTGTTAGTATGAGCTAGATTAATTTAAATCATGAGTTGCTTATTAGACTATTTTGTGATGAAAAATAATTGCCTATGGTTGAATTACCGTTGCATTGTTACTGTCAGTCACCAAGAGGCAGATTCAACTTTCATAATGTCATTAGTTCACATTTGCTTGCTTTTGACTGGTTGGTGTACGTATTTCACCGGAAGGTATAAAGGGAAAAAACCTACCAGTCAAAACTCAAGAAGGTCCAAGCAAGCTCAACCAAAGCTAGTGGGGGGGGGC